TTTAATTTCGTAGTCGTCTATAACGTACAAGGGATGGTAGTAGAGTGGTAATGAGAGGGTCCTCCCATGTTTTATGTTTAGATGAGGCACATGTTCCAGCGCTAAACCCATTAAACCATTCCCGACATAAGGCACATAGTTATGACTAAGCGAGTTCATTGCCGCTAAGGATTCTTGTCTAACGTACACGTCGTACTCATTCAGACCAGTCTCGAATGGTTTCATAAAATTTTTAACACATACATTCTGGTGTCCCGTTGTGCTCTCCGCTCCAAACAACCAGTTCATTAGAGTAGGTCCAGTATATAGACATAAGAATATAACAACCAGTACTAATATAACCAGCTTCTTTCTTGTCAAGGGTCCATCAGCCAATCTGTTGATACGCCTCAAAACATCCCCGGCACGGCGACTCATGTCTGCGACGATAGAACGAAATCTTTCCATTACAAATTGTCAGCAAATGTGCACAAAACACGTTTGGCTTGTATACGCATTCAAGTGAGATCAGTTATTGTCATTGTAAATCAGTAAATTCAATAAAAACACAAGATTTTTATTCAAATACTCCACGGAACAATATCACTTGACTTGACTTGTACAGATAATAAAAACAATATTTATTTAGAGCGGCGAGTATCGATTTAATATACTCGACTAAAATTACTATTGAAACCGAAATTCGAGCAATTTGAAGCGAGCTAACTTAATTCATAAATTAGCCTGTTAGTAATCACATGAAGCCCATCCCATCATTTGCCTATATGTGCTCACTGCTGAGCAAAAGCCTTTTCTCACTCGGAGAAAATTTCAGAATTAGTTGGTTTCGAAAATTGGCGATTGCAAATCGCTTCAATAGAATTTAAATGTTCAGATTTTATCTCGATGTATTTTTATCAGTTTTTAAATTATAAATTATTTACAAAAAAATATTCAGAAAAGTTCTTGCTGCATTCATGGTTCTTGCTTATAGGTTTTGAACTCTGACGCGTGACAAGCGGGCGCTTTAATCTGGAGGCCACTAGAGAGTACCTACTAGCGTTAGACTTATTTAGATGTGCCTATTCATGGCGGTTTCCATCCATGACAGGTATTGTTACTTTAGTACATTACTTAGCAAAAATAAACATTTTAGGGAACCTTGCAACTAGCGTGCTTAGCCGTACTTACCGTCACATAGATGAGAGTAGGTAATCCATACAGTACCGAACTTGCGCTTGGTACAAGCCCTCGCTAAGATGCTCAACTTTTTACCAGCTACCAGCTTCACTCTATGTAGTAGCCAAAGCTAAGGGTGGGCATAAGAGTTACACCAAGAAGCTCATGATGGTTAGTAACCAGAACGGACACATTCCGGAAAGTAGGAGCCAGCGGAAATTGACTCCGTTTAGCGGAGAACAGATTTTCATTTGATGATTTTCCCGCCTCAAAAAAGAAAATTAGGTAGGTACTACCATGATGGGTTACACACTCCCGGTATTTGCAGAGATGCATTTGGGCGTCCAGTTTTTATTCCATCACTAGCCACATCGACAAGCTTTGTGATTAACGGTACATCAATACCTAATGTAATTTGTCATTACGACTACTATGAACTGAACTATGAATATTTAGTTTTGTAGGTACTTATCCCACGTCTGCAAAACTCACTCCCATTTTATGTTTGCAAGAAATGTCGGATGTAAAAGATTCTTATGTTATACTTAACATAAGGAGCTTTTTGTTGTTTTTAGCTATTAAGGGGTCTGAGAGGTCTTTGATATATTGGTAGATTTTAATTTGGCAAAGATGAGCTATGATAGCTTAGGGCTGACGTTACCCTGTACTCGAAAATTATGTATATTGGTTATCAGGGTTGCGGGAATAATTACCCATATTTACACTTTAGAGGTATGAGGAACAGGGTGGAAAGTTCCTCATCCTCCATTGAAAAGGGAGGATCCTCCGACCAGGCGAGGTGTTCGTGCCTGGTGGGCTACTGCCCGACGGTGGTTGTCGGGATATCTCTATGGGTGCTAATTGTGTGGAAATCTCTTATAGCGCGATGTAGACGCTTGCACGTGATTTGTGCTGTTGTTAATGTAGTGCGCTAGATGTCGCTACAACACTAATGCGTCGATAGTGCAGTTCTTAATCAGTGAGAGTGAATAAACTCTTAGGGCATAAATAGGAGCCGTTTGAACATCAATGCTTTACGTATGCAAGACGTTCAAATTATACGTTTCTGGGCTGCTAACAGTAGTTAAGCAAATATCAGTGACTTTCGCCAATCCCGGAATCCGCTACCTCTGATAGTACCTGGTCATGTTTGACACCAAAGATCCATAGACTACAGTCTCAGTCAGTCAGTTCTATGGCAATCAGTTTTTAGGGTGCACATGAGGAAACAAGAGCAAAAAAAAATAAAACAAAAAATAACTAGTAAAATTTAATATTATTCACTAAAATATCAATACAGAACTATCACATTACAAATATATATAGAAAAATAAAGCACAATTTATAAAAGCACCTTTGAAATTATTGTTTTATTTTTATTAAAATCTAATGTTGATGTAGGATACATTATAAATTCGTTAAAAATATTATTGCTGATCAGAGATTCATTAAATACTTAAACTAACAATGTTCATAGCTTAATTCTAAATTATTTACCAATAAATAAATGATCAAAATTATATACATAGAAATAAATATGGGGATTTATTAACACATTCAGTGCCCCCGACGCGTATGTGCGTGCGAGGAAACGCACATACGCGTCGGGGGCACTGAATGTGTTAATTACTATTGCAACTTTAAATAAAAAATATACAAAAAAAGAATTGTTGTGAACTACATGGCTATATCTTTTTATTGTCTAAAATATTTAATGTATATTATTATAAATGAAGATAAAAGAAGTCTTTATAGTTTCAATTAAAATAGGGAGTAAGAATATTTGCTACCAATTGAACGTTTTTACACATTCACTTGAATATCTTATTTGATTCACAGTTCACATAAAAATAAAAAAAAATATAGTAAAAAATATAAATAATGTAGGTACATATATTTTTTTTCTATTTATCAATTGACACAGAAAACACTGTCCATTATCTATCGAATATCATGAAAAACTTCTAAAATATATATCTTGGAACCTTCTACATTAAAAAGTATTGTAAATGTTAAACCCTGCACCATATCATTGAAGGCACTTATTTAATATACAGCGTCAATAATAAATAATTGGTTATCTGAATCAGAAATAGAACCATTAAAATATAAAGTAAAACTTTTTGGTATACAAATAATTGCTTATCTGTGGCAGAATCATTAGCCCTCATGAACCACTGAAATATTTAGTTGAAACTTTGTTATAGGTGCCAAAAAGTTTTTTTTATTCATTATTTATCTCCATAAGCTACTTCGGTCATATTGCAAGGGAAGATGGCAAAAGCCTGATGGAGACACAACGAAAAAGTGGAAAGGGCCTTGTATTTTAATTGAATCACATCTACATGACTCTGGATTTTACTGTCCACAATGCGCTCTACACTGCTAAAGATGGAATAATGTTGGGCATGAAAAGTTTTGTACAAAGCCATAACTCTTAGCACTGAGGAATGCGAAGCCAAAAGGACTAGTACTTATCTCAAAACTTATCTTATAAGGTCCCCAGGTTGATCCCTTGATTGTTAAGGCAAAATAATGAAAATTGTTAAAATTTAGCCAATAGAATTCAACCACGTAATTCACGCAGTAAGATTGTTTTTTTTTAGGAATAAGATCGGAATGTATAGATTTGAAAGCGGAATAAATAATTATATTTTCTAATAGTCTTTATAAATAAAATTAAATGTTACAATAGGATTTGTTTAAAGGTACTCATACTTGAAGTACTAATATGTTAAGAGTACCATTACCAAGAAGGCTGGATGAAAACGTGTAATTTTTTTAATAATAAATATTATAATAAATAAATTATTGTAATTATTTAGGACCCATTTTTTCATAGTTTAAAGTTTTTTTTCCACATAATGTACCTATGATACTATAAAATAATTTCGAAATATAAATCATTACAAGATTTTTTTAAATTTGTAAATGGAACGGAATGTTTAAGCCAATAGGTGGCCATTATGAAAATAAGTTTTGTATTTTTAAATAATGCATTTTTTCTTATTAATACTGATTGTTTACATACATAGATAGATTGTCTTCTAGAGATCTTTCCAATTGTTAAGGATTATTTATATATTAATTTTTGTTTTCTGTAAATATTCGAACTACTAGATTTTATAAATTAATTATTTTCTTAAATAATATCGTCACAAAATCCACACTTTTTTTTAAAATATAACAACCTTTTTTTAATAACAGACAATTTAAACTTGTCACGTAATAGACGCAAGATTCTATTTGTAATAATATAATGATAAATATATAAAAATGTATTTCCAAAATATTATATTTGAAATATTTATTCTGTGCCAAAAAGAAAGCATATACTTATCATGCGTTTATTTCATTACAAATTTATTTAATATAATTTCCAAAATACTATATACTTATTAGTTTATTTTTTAGTGCAAAAAAAGAAAGCATTCTTATCTTGCGTTTATTTCGTTACAAATTGATTGAATAGGTAAATTCTACATTTTGCACGTACAAATAAGGACCTGAGTTATATAATATTGAAACTTAGGCCTTTTTTACGGAGAAATGCCCTTCGTAAATCAGGCCTTTGTCCTCCAAAACTTAGTCAGTTCGTATAAAATATTGGTTAAGAATTAGTTACCTACCTGATATGATTTATTGTCGAGAGTTTACAGTCAAAGTAATTAGTATTATAATAACAATATTAGGAATTGCTTCGCTTTCGCTGATTTCTACGTATTTTTTAAGGGCTTACTTACGTAGGTAACTGTTTGGCGAGATATCTCGACCAGTTTTAAGGCAAGTAATTAAATTACTTCATTAACTGATAGGTGATGACATCAGCCATTTTTACTATAGAAGTGTATATTTCTGGATTTATACTCTTTATTCCTGGTCCCCCTGTTTCCAATCCCTGTCTGACCTGAGTAGTACTATTTCTTCTTCCGAATCCGTCTCTGAAGGCGGCAAGTCCTCTTCATCGAAGTAGGGTTTGCGGACTATGTCTAGAATAATACGGAAAGTACATTCAAAAGGTGAACTTAAAATTACGTGATAAACTACTTTCTCTCTCTCTCTCTCTCTCTCTCTCTCTCTCTCTCTCTCTCTCTCTCTATCTCTCTCTATCTCTCTCGTTCTTTCCCTTTCTCCCTTTCTCAATATTTCTTTCTAGATATTTTCATTTTGTCTTTCTATTACGCATTGAACAATGTGGTGTCGTAACTATTATATTTATGAGTGTAAAGATACAGGTTTTTTAATAAAATAAACACAATAAAAAAGTACCACAATTGCTTTACAAATACAATTCCATCCCGGTCTTTTGACATCTTTTATTTTTTTTTTACAACAAAGAAGTTGTTAAATATTTGTAGATGACTTACCATAGCCACTGGCGTCATCACAGAGCGGTCGTTTATCGTCGCTGGGTATCTGAGTGAACATGTACTGACGACGCGTGTCCTTGGCGCGCTCGCGACAACTGAAGCACCACGCCGACACTGTCACTACAGCCACGCCAATTACGCCTGTAATAACATTACATTATCAGAACATTCCTTATTATTATTTTTTATGTAGTAGGTCGGCAAAGGAGCATACGGATTACTTGATGGTAAGCAATCACCTTAATGCTAATCAACTTTAAGGAGCCCGCTTCTCATGCATGAGGGTGTGAGTTCGAAACCTGGCAGGTACCAATGTGACTTTTTCCGAGTTACGTGTACTTTCTATGATTATTTAGATACCACTGACATACGGTGAAGGTAAACATCGCGAGGAAACCTGGACTTATAATTTTTAATTATAAGTTTGAAATCGCCAACCCGCATTGAGCAAGTGGGGTGATTAATGCTCAAACCTTCTCTATGTGAGAAAAGGCTTTTGCTCAGCATAAATCAAAGTTAAGATAACCCAAAGGTCAATGTAAGTGAAAAAAAAATGCATGCAATGTTGAGTAGTTGAAAAAGTTTGAAAGACAATGAGATATTATTATTACAAATATGAATAAAAATATTTTGCTACAGACCTGCCAACATGACGAACACGAGTCGCGGCATGCCCAGCACGTAGTCGTCGCTCTCCAGTTTGAAAAGTATATTCGGAGTCAAATTCTCTTTGCCGTTTATCTAGAAAAATATACAAGAATACTTGTGAATGAGAAAGTTGACCTTTTTGTACAATTCTTATTGAATAAAAGAATTTCATATTAATAAAAAAATACTTTTAACTTCTTTAAAATTACTGTATCTATTAAAACCTAATGTATCTACTAAACCATAATGAGGTAAAAAGGGAAAAAAGAGATATACTAAAATTGGCAGAGTGGCAGCACTATCGCTTTTAATCCACTAGTATTTGTCCAAGAAACTCACCACAATATGCTTCTGTTTCGTAATGTATCCGTCGACAGACGCGCTAGCGACGACCTCCTTAGCTTTATAGTCTAGTGGAAGAGCGAGGACGTACCGCCCTGACGAGTCACTCTCGTTCTTAGCTATAGGCGACTTGGCGCCTAGTGGTCGAATATTCACTGAGACCGATGGTAGGGGCAAGCTGTTGTGGTCTAGAGTTAAACCTGAGGACATTTTTTTTATTAATACATGAATTATGAAAAATTATTTGTTTATAATCATAAGCAGTAGATAATCAAGGACCTTGTTACGAATTGCGGTTATAATTAAAAAAACAATCTCGTCGAGCAAAGTCGATTATGGGCCCCGTTGTAGCTTGAAACTAGTCGACCTCTGTCGAATACTCGACTCGTATAATACGAGATGTCGACGATAGTTATCACATTACACGGAAAACCGTTTTACAAATCAAAATGATGTGACTGAGTTCTATCTTTATAACTTTTAGTAGGCAAATGTAATGAAATAAGCGTTCCTTAACGCATCCAGTGCCCCGACGCGTATGTGTGTTTCCTTACGCTACTCTGTGTGCCCTCGACGCACCTGTGCGTTCTATACATTAATGTATATAACCGTGATATATATAACCCCGTAGCGCAAATCCACGCGAGACAGAATGTGTTTTCTATTGTTTATCATATACCAGCAGATAAGAGGTTAATTAGACAAATTCAACATATCATCAACGACCAATTGTTTCCCTCAAAGCTTTAGTAGGTACTCACCAGTAACATACACGACGTTAGGGTTGTCATCAACCTTGACCTCGGCGAACTGTCCCCCGGGTATAGTGTCGGAGTCCACGCGACGCATTATTATGTCCTTACTCTTGAGTACGCCTTCCACTACCGACCATACTAACATCTGGTAGGGAAATATATTGAATATTAGAAATATTATATGGAGAGATCTTAAGTAAATATTGAAAAGAACTACTACTACACCATATCTATACTTAATCCAGACTTATATTATAAATGCGAAAGTAACTCTGTCTGTCTTTTCTTCACGCCTAAACTACTTAACCGATTTCTGTGAAAAAATGGTTCAGACATAGTTTGGAACTCGTGAGCTTTTATACCAAAAATCTGCAGGTAGTCACTATTCCACGCGAACATAGTCGCGGGCAAAAACTAGTATATTATAGAGCTAATTAGTTTATTTGTTTGAACGTGCTAATCGTTGAAACTATTAGTACGAATATAAAAAATCGTTTTAGGTCGGATAGTCCATTTGTTGGATTATAATCAAAGGAGCCATGCAGCGGCTGAACTAGATACATTTTTCGATGGTGAGAATTACTGAACCACTACATCAGTTTTAGAGATTTGACGGTTTGGAGGCAAACCTTACCCAGGTTTGGCCTCTGGTTATTTTACACACACTGCGAAACACAACGTGGACGTTGTTTCTCGCTAGTTTTCTGTGAGGCCATAGCATCACGGAGATTCACTATTCGTGCCGAAGCATAGTTCTTCCAGATCTAAAATATAATATTCCCTATAATAGTATAAGTAATCTCACCTGATCTTGATAGTTATGACACCGGATAATAACGCGGTAGACTCCAGGCGGCAACATTATGCGGTAGTGCGCCAGATTGCGGGTGACTCGGTACTGTCTTTCAACGCCCGTCACCGCCACGATAGCGTCGCGCATTGGAACTCCTTCCTCGTTCTTTATATAGCCCACCACACCTGTAAAGAGGGTTATAATGGTAAATTATATGCAAGATATTGTTAATTGCGTTTTATTATCGACTCGTACAGACTTCGCATTGATAGTTGTATATGTTAGTACATTTTTCTACTGTACTACTTAATGAATGTTATCCAAACTAAAATTAAATTTGCGAAATAAACTCTGTCTGTCTGTCTTTTCTTCACGCCTAAACTTCTGAACCGATTTCTGTGAAATTTGATACAGACGTAGTTTGGAACTCGAGAAAGGACATAGGATAGTTTTATTAACCAAAATCTGCAGGAAGTCACCATTCCAAGTGAACGAAGTCGCGGGAAAAGCTAGTTGTATATATAAGTTTTACTCTTAATTAACTTTACTTTTTAAAAAACATCAAAAAAGTTAGTCTACAATATCAGTGGTAGTATGAAAATTTTACAAAAAAGTTGTTTAACCAAATAATTTGGGCGTTTTGGACAAAGATATTTGTCTAAAAAGGTTGGATAACACTTACCAGTATTAGCTAGTTCAGCAAACTTCATGATCCCTCTGAGATTGCTTCGCCAAACCCACGCAATGTCTGCATCTTTCGGCATCTTGCAGCAACTCAGCCCCGCAGATATCACAGGCGTATTATACCGTTCACACAGCACATCTATCAAATCTTCGTGTTTCACACCGGCACCCTTACACTGGTACCGATCCTCACTAACTCTGCTATCCTGGTAAGTCTTAGCAAACTTCTCGAACAAATTCTTCGATAACTCAGGATATTTCACGTCTTCAGAACCTGATGCAAGTTCTAGAATGACATCGTATTTCTCACTTTCTAGCATGTTGACGAAGGAGATTTCTCTGCTGTAATTCGAGAGAGGATTCATGTCTTTCTTTGTCAGGTAGGCGTATAGACTGTCTCCGAATTCTTCTTCTAGGGCTTCGATATCACATTTGTCAGTTTCGTCGTATTGCTTGATAATTTTGTCGGATAATGAGTCTACGTTTGGAATGAAATGCAGGACTGCGTTCTGGAGGAGGCGTTTGTGCACTGGTTCTCCAATCATGTAGGCTGTGCCTATGTGGCGAGCGAAGTTCAGTAACATCTCCTGGCCTAAAGGCTGGGAGCCGTAGAAACTGCTCATTATGGCTATGTGGAATTTTGTCTCTTCTGGCGAGCCGACCTGGTGCAAAACAATGTTATGATTGTACAACACTTTCGGGGATGAAAAGTTTAAATTGCATTTATCCAAACTAAGATGATTTCGAAAAAAAACAATATACTATGGTGTCAATTTTGCGAAAAATGTGGTAAATAACCTCAAAGTCTTTTTCATAAAGCTAAGAGCACTTCCAACAGTGGGTTTTCGTCTATAATATCCTTCCAAAAAGTAACTTAAAAATAGGTATACCAAAGAATCTGTATGTGAAACTGATTTAAAAAGAGCAACTACGGAGTTTTTTGCTCGTTCTTGTCCATTGGAATCTACACTTTGGAACGAGAAAATAGCTACACTAAGAGGACTAACCGACAGACTGACACTTTTTATTTTCAAGCTTTGTTTGACGTTTAAAAGTGCCTGTAAAGTTCTAATTGAAAAAAAAAATGATTTTGACTTTTGAAAGAATCTAACAGTATTTTCAAAATATTTTAAAGGTACTTACATCATCAGTCATCTTGAGCTGGTGGAAGGTGGAGGTAAGCATGCTGTCTCCAGCCCTGAACTCAGCGATGCTTGGGAACCGGTTCTCCAGCTCGGACAGCGCAGCATACATCTCGAGCCGCGTGTGGTATCGAGTATTTATTATGTTGTCCAAGACACTGCAGTACAAATATTCGCTCAAATTTTTATACGTGGGAAAGAAAGCTAAGCTTAACATTACGTGTTTGTGATATATAAGCCAATAGCTAGGTGCAATTTTTCAGTCGATAACTGATATCAAAAACCGCCACCAGGATTTTCTGCTGTGTTGTGGGTCCATCACACCCAAAAAATTTTTAACTCTAAGTTTTGCCGTGCGGGAATCGAACCCACAACAAGTTGCGCGGCAGCCAGATCCAGCCATCACGTCACCTTTTAGTCAATTTGAAACATATAATTTAGTTTCGAAATAAACAAACCTGACTTCTGTAGTCAAACGACGATCAACATTTTGTATTAATTAAATACTATTTTATTTTACTTAATGACTAATAAATGAATATTAGAAAAACAGAAAATTGTTTCTGTTTTTTTTTATTAATTTATTAAAAATATAAGTGCAAATGATTATTTACCGCAAGCTACAAAAACGTGCATGTTTGTGATATGGTCGAGGAACTAGGAAGATATTGTGTCCAACTTAAAAATATGGTGAAATATAAAGAACTTTTTATGATATATTTTATTAACAAATAGTCTATGTGTTTATTAGTATAATTACAATAAAAGTATGGCTACGGAATTATTTTAAAATAAATTTACCTGTAATTAATGGAATCTATTGTTAATTCCACTTTTGGTAACGTCACATTCTGCAGTTATGTTATATACTTTTTACTAAAATAGCCACATATATTTTTTGGCAATTGAGTTTGTGGATCCTTTTCCCCACCTTCAGATAATTTCACGATAAACTTATGTGGCAGATTGATTAAACCTCATCTGGTACATAGTCGCATGCAGCCATTAAAAACATACCCTTAATATCTAAATTCCTAATATAACAGATTGGACCTTCAAATTGAATATTGTGATAAAAAGTCTTTCAAACTAACCTAAGACGCGGTACAACCGCATTGGTCAAACTGTAATTAATTATCAACATTGTAACTTTACGAGAAAGTCAAAAATGCAATAGCACAAAGAGTTCGAAGTGAGTTACTGAGCTGGCACTTAGACACATGTTTGCACACACGGTTGTAGGTCAAGTAAATAAAAAGAAAATAAAAAAAACCAGTTAACCATGATCTTGATTTGTGTCACCATTCCGCAATTTCAGCGGTCAGTATAAACTGGTTTTTATAGTGTACAATGAATACAAAGAACAACACAACTGCGTGCAAATAAATTTATTAATAAAGATTAAGCGACATTCGTACAATGCGACATAGAAATAAAAACTAATATTAAAAACTACTGTTAATAACTCAAGCCGTAAGAAATTATAAGTAAAAAGTAAACATAGAAAATATTATAAAAGATAAAGTCTAAAACTATATTGTTAGGTTATTTTGAATATTGATCAACATCATAAAAGGAATGAGGGTTTGCCTTTTTGCTCCACCAGAGGCGCTGGCATAGTTAAAGATCTATCGCGTCAAATAAATTTGTTTCTTAACGTTAATTTATGGACGAATTCACCAGTAAAATTGTGTTAAAAATGTTGATTCTAGAGGAACTTATACCTCACTAGCGCCATCTCCACGGCCATCATGCGACGAAACGCAAAATCGATAACCATCATTCCTAAAGCTAGTATCAATTGTTTTTAAAACGGTTCAAATCTGTTATAATTAAATCTTTTAGGTAATTTTGAATAAAATACTTCATATTTTATAAAAACATTTTATCATTGGAAATCGAAGTTGAGTAAAAAACAAAAAGTATAATAACAATGCAAACAATTTAAAAAAGTATTAAAACAGTGCAAAATTTAAAATCTTACGAAAAAAAATTACGCATAAAATAAAAATGACTAAAATCACCGAAGTAAATTTCTAACATTGTTCAAAAAGTCTATGTAAATAACTGAGATTCAGTTTCCTTAAAAAACAGACCAAAGCGACTTTCAAAACTAAAATAAATTTCATAAACGATTTTTATTTAATAAATATCAAAAATATGTCCGTAATCCCTTAAAATTTCTCAAATTAAACTTTCTTATAGCAAAATATAATAAGTACATTATCCATATAAAATAAAAATATACTAGAAATAAGCTTAGCGCATTATAATTAACACGGTGCTTCATAAATCATAGAAAAGGGAAGTTTCAACAAGGGATGTATTTCACTATTTGCGCAAAACTGCGCAAACTAGAACAACAATGCGCAAACATTTTAAAGTTAATATGGACAATACTATATTATATACGATAACTTAAGTAATAACTTAAGTACTTATATTAATTGTTCAAGTAAGAAGATAAAGATAATCTAGGAGGACTATAGACATAAATATATTATTATAAACTAAAAGTATTTTGTTCTTATATTGTGGACAAGGAATGTTTATATTTTGATGTATTTTCATGCATGCTCATTCACTTATACATGCGATGTATTTTAAAAACTTCTAACGACCCAGAAATTACCTATTTATATATATAAGACACACACAAACAGACGTAAAAACCACTAAAACACACCCCTTGTTAAACCACCTATAGAAACATTCACATTTACGTGCTTAAAATACGAAAACATATAAAACATTGCATACAAGCATAGAGAAAAGCATATGACAAGACAAAAGCAAATTGTGTCCTGTGTGCAGCGTGCAAGGTTGGTTTTTGCACTCACCGGAAGTCGTAGGCGGATGACCAATGTTGAGGGTCGTCTGCCATTAGAGTGAAGTTGACGCTGATCGAACCTGTTTCGGGTACTGTCACTTGTTCAGTCACACTTTCATAGCTGGAGAGAGAGAAAAGAAATATTATAGTTTTATTGGCCGAATGCAAATATGCATCGGAATGAATAACGCATTTTTTTGCCTTTTGAAACGTTGTCCGATGCTTTTCCCGTGTGTCGTGGGTGCGTTTACAAACTTACATATCGCACCCAGATTAGGAACAACCAAGAGTTGTTCCGTGAAGGAATCGGACCCGCTACACGTTACGCGGCAGCCAATTGCCCAGCCATCGCGCCAACCGTGCAGTCAATATTATGCAGATTTATATTATTTTATTTTTTTAAACTTTGCCCAACACCTAGACCCGGAACAACAATCTATGGACCACACAAAGAGTTGTTCCGTGCGGGAATCGAACACGCGACACGTGCAAGAATCATAATGTATTAGGGCCCTCGACCGGAGCAGGAGAAGGAACGAGGTGGTTTTCAGTCAATTAGAGTCTGACACTCCCTCTCGCTCACCGACGGGGGGGGAGAGGAAATATGATGATTTCCCCCCTTCTCCCCCAAAAAGGTTTGGTTTGGATTTTATTATATTGCAGAAGCAAATCCGTGCTATACGTTATTGTCATTAGTTTTTCATGAAAAATCGCAATCTCAGTTTGTCCCATGTGGGAATTGAACCTGTCATCGCGGTTCCGGCCTTCGTCGCCGGCTGTTATTCCACTAACGAGATAATAAGAAAATATCAAAGAATTGTTCAGTTAAAAATGAGATAATATAGTAAAAAAACTATAGCTGTCAACTGGTCTACTAGTCTACTAGTCTTCTATTGGTCTTCTCGTCTACTCACCCTTTTTTAACAGCAGTGATGTTATAAGTGCCAGGTTCCAACAGTCGCCAGTAATCACCATCCTTGGCTGTTTTGACGGCGTGAGTAATTCCTTCCACTTTGATAGTGGTGTTCGCGAGTGGGTGGCCAATGTGACTATGGACGAAGCCGTTTACTCCTGTATGCACCTGAAAAAAGATTTTAGATTATATATGTAGGCAGAGAAGAATTTTTTGTCATCATCCCCACCATTACCTAGTCCTCCCGTCGGTTTGTCTAAATACTTTTCTGAGACTAGGCATTATACTGTGGTCTTTACCCAGAATGTTAACTTTATAACAAGTCCCACTTATATAAAGGAAGCTAATCATTTGTAAGATAACTGCTAAATAATCATACTTATAAATCAGCAGTGTTGTATTTCGTCGTATGAGTGAGGTTATCGTCCTCGTATCCCTCCTCCCAAATCCCTAAATCCCCTAAACTCGTTATCTCGAAAATGCCAGCAACGTTTTTACAACTCCTCTAGGGGGTAACCTTAACATTCAATCAAGTCATGGGTGCCTCCCTGGTGTTGTGGGCGTCCATGGGCGATGCAGCTTAGTTGCCATCAGACTGTTCGTATCACGAAAATATCTATAATTCTTATTACCTGTTCAATAAATTTGAGCAAAGCCTCCTTGTTATCCTCCCAGTAGGTAGGCAGGTCCTCCTCTGGTGGGAACTTAAAGCAACCGAGTTCCAAAGTGATTTCCATATCATTTGTATGTATGTAGTTCCAATCTTGCATACCGCCTGCTAGTACGTACCTGAAATTAGGATTTGAAATCTTATTTTAATGGTCGTAAAGATTATTTTAAATGCATGTTTGTGAATGTAAATGTGCAAAGAAGTTTAGACTTGTATATTAAGGGTTGAGGGTTGCTTTTTGAAAACAAATGGGTAGTTTCCTAGGTCAAAAATAAATAGAAAAAAATTGATTTCAGATTTATTTATTTAACGTTATAATAATAAATATGCTATTTGTCGTATAAAAATTATGTCGTCAAATTATGTTTCGATCTCGTACAAAATTCATAGCAAAGTATAGTTTTCACATTTCAATAAAAGTATTGAATTTGACTAGTTGGAAATTACCGTATTACAGTAATATTTACCATTTAGCACCATTAGTAATGCCTTGAGGGAACTTTTCGCTGGGTAGATTCTTGCAGGGCTGTCCCAAATGCATTTTATGATGAGCCTGTAAGTAAATTAACATACCTATATATTACAGAATTTTAATTTTGTCTGAGACTACTTGCTTAGCAATAGTTAGGAAATGCACTTGTCTTATCAAAGTAACTTGAAAGTTTTCGAGCATTCTCGAACAGTTACGGGTCGAGTAAGTTATTTTTTAATAGTTAAGGTCATGAGACCTTGTTCAACATTCTTCAACTTCAATAAAATCAATAATTTATGAGAACTTCGGAAAGACTTATTTTTAACTTTTCGAATTTCAGTGAACTGTTTGTCCTCAATATAAACGTATTATTTTCAGGACTAAAACGTTACTGAAAAGTCGGTAAATCACTATTTTATTCAAAATTTTGTTATATTAAAGACTTTTTTTAAACTTACGTCAGAATAAGTATGAGCCAGATGTAAGAACACAGGATTGTCCGGAGTCAAATATTCAAACCCGCTTTGCATATCAGGGTTGCCATCATAAGGATAATTGGCGACTAAGGCTCCTCCGTGAAGATTGGCAGACAGGACGAATGGTTCAGACAGAGACCAGTTCATGACAGCCAGGGTTTCTGGCTCAGGGATCTTGTTGTCTGATGTGTCACCGAATTGATCCGGAAAGTTCCTGTTCAAGTCCACATCATGGGCGTTACTTCTGCCGCGGAGGCTGCTGTAATCTCCTGCCAAAAGAGATGTTGATATTTTATTTATTGTATTCTATCAAACATCAAGTCTGTCAACCCTAGAGAGACGAGGAGGACGTTTAAGGGCTGATTTTTTAACAGTTAGATAAATGTTATCTGCGGAATAAAATTGTTGCTGTCCTTGTCTTATACAAACATTCTGGCGCGACAGCATCATAATTATTCCCCAGATAACTTTTATCTAACCATTGAACAATCAGCCCTAAAATTTTAAAAGGACCTTTAATGGTCGAATTGAAATAAAAGATCTGACTTTCACTTTGACGTTTGACAATAAATGGGAAGAAAAAGAAGAAATCACCCTGGCAAGAAAAAATGATATATATTCGTCATAAACATATGTTATTCTTAAAAAAAAAATTTAGTCGACGCGCACATCAACCAAATAACATCAATATTCGTCGGAACTTTTTCCCCGAAAGTTGAAAATAATTTAAGTATTACAATTTTACCCCTACAGGCACTTTTGTAAGTCAATGCCAGACTTGTGAAATGAGACGAGTCCCAAAGCTGATAAAATCCATCGTAGTACTGCACATTTTGAAAAAGCTTAATTATTATGAATCCTTTTAAGTGTGAGAGAGCCATGTTTCGGCACAAATGAGTGGACTCGTACGAAGTGATAGCACGACCTCACACCTGTTTGAGTAAGGTAACACGGGCATTATTTCTTAAGGCGAAATGCTTACCAATTCTCGCCTTCTCATAGCCGTCGGGGTTCATGCTTGGGAGAAGATGGATCCTGGTAGTGTTGAGCATCTTCTGTATCCTCTCGTTGCCGCTCACATACTCCTGGCACAGGTACTTGGCTAGGAGCAGGAGGAGCTCCCTGCCTACGACCTCGTTACCGTGCATATTCGCTACGTATTTAAATTCGGGCTTGCCTAGAATATGAAGGACGAAATATTTTAGACTCATCTTGAGTTCAAGTTATTTGTAATCTATATATATAAAAGAAAGTCGTTTTAGTTACTTTACTTATAACTAAAGAACGGCTGAACTGATTTAGCTGGAAATTCGTAGGGAGGTAGCTAAGAACTGGGAGAAGGACATAGGATAGGATAAGATAGAGTAGGTAGAGTAGGGTAGGTAAAGCAAGGTAGGTGGAGTTGGTTAGGAAGAGTAGGATAGGTAGAGTAGGGTAGGTAGTCAAATGACGGGAGCAACGCCGCGGGTAAGAGCTAGTATTATATAAAACAAGCAATTTTCCTAATTCCTGGTTTTATAAGAAATTTTCCTTTTTGGGATTTAGAGTAAAATTATCGGCGTTTATGGTCATGCAAACTTTCAAACCATTTCAGCGTATGCGGTTGAAGGTCCACTTCAAAATTATCAGTTTGATACAAACATATTATATTTCAAGATAAATAAAATGTAAAAAAAATAACTCACCAGGCTTATGCACTCCAGGGTCTTGAGTAACTTCGATCACATAGAGCTCCCTGCCCTCCACAGACTTGCCGATGCTGCTCAGCTTAGTGATACGAGGGTACTGTTCATTCAGTTCCTTGAGGAAGCTCTCCATCTTCAAATAATTGTGGTGAGCGAAGTCTACGGGGGAAATACCATCCAGTTCGTGACGCGCGCGCCTTGTATGAACTGGAGATTTGCCCGTATTACTATTTATGTTGCGTTTCTTGACGCCATCTTTGTTTTGTGTATGTGTATGTGTGTGTGTGTGTGTTTAGATTAGATTTGGAAGCAAATAAGTTTTTAAAAAGTTCTTTCATTAGATACCATTAGAAATAAAGTGTTCTTTAATTTTGTTATGTCAAAATTATATGAAGTGTCATTGTATATTTGTTTTAAAAGAAAAGAAACTTCAATTTGAACTCACACCAAACAGAAATATGTTTTAGGACACAAACTCATGCAAGTGGTGTCTTATATGACATTTTAGACAACTTAGTAGGTAAGGTACTACTTTGTGTTTTTCTACTCGGAATCAAGGATTTACAAGTGAAAGGTGCTATCTAAGTGCGAGAAAATGTTTGATAAAACGAAACGAATCGGGCAAATCAACAGGGCATAACAAAGCTAGAAGTCTCGACAATTATATTCATTCAACTTTGTCGTAGAAGGATAAGGTTAAAAATTGAATAGATGATGTATTGTTCAAACGTTAGCGATAAAAATGTTATCTTTGTCGAGACTACCAGCCTAGGACATATAACAAAACCAACCACCACTACATCATAATTAAAAATCACAAAACAAAAGGTAAAAAAAGGATAAAATTGTCTGAAAAATAAAAGTAGGGGAAGAAAAGTAGGAGCCTAGAAGTATGCAGTTAGATTCATTTATGAACTTTTCATACAATTATTTTTTGTTTAAAATTAAATATAGATGTAAGTATTTTAGCAACCAGTTTGTACTATACTATCTCCAGAATTGCTAACCAATATTTCCTAGTATTGTCTTCAAAACATTAAAAAGAATTTTAATGGAAAAAATCTTTGTTTTCATTACTATCATCGCGTACTAAGCTGTCCTTTCCTTATTGATTATCACGTTACAGTATTGAGAAGACCCATAACCCAGGACTGGAACATCATGAGCTGTTTCTGATGAAGACCTTATATCTTTGTATAGTATCTTCGTATAAGGAGCGCTAATACAACATTTCCGTGTACCGGGATACTAAATTTTTTGTATAATAAGTATCGATAATGTATTACAAAATTAATCAAAAGTTCTTTTTACTACCGCGAAGTACCTATTACATAACAGCTCGACTAGTTTCAAGTCAAAATAGGACTCTTATTCATATGACTTGAAACTGGTAGAGTAGTTTTCTCGAATATTTGCAGTTGTCTTAAATCCAAACTAATTTTATAAATGCGAAAGTAACTCTGTCTGTCGGTCTTTTCTTCACGCTTAAACTAATGAACCGATTTCTGTGAAATTTGGTACCAACATAGTATGGAACTAGAGAAAGGACATAGGATAGTTTTCATGCCAAAAATCTGCAGGAAGTCACTATTCCACAACAGGCAAATGGCACTGGGCAAAAGCTAGTAATAAATATATTAAAACTACATACATATATATCTATATAGGACAATTTAGGTTAATATAATAAATATTCGCTAGTAATAATGAAGCTATAAATGAATCTAACCACATTAAAGGAGTTGATTAAAACAAAGCCTTAGATCACTGTGTACCTGTCACTTTTATTGCTCATTACAACGGCTGACTGGCCATCTATATACAAACAACTTATTTATACTTACTGTTAACCTTAATTACTTGTCAACAAAGTTCATTTAAGAGTGACACTGTATTTTTAAAATTCAGCTGCAAACGAAATTAGAATGAAGAGCTTTAAGATAAGGTTCTTTATAGTAAAGCAAGTTATTGACATTTATGTGTTACACAGATATATGTATATCTGGGTTGCAATACATATGTATTTGTTATTTACAAATGTTTTAGACCCCTGTTTCATAATTTAATATGTTATAGGAGTTATCTATTAAGTTTCTTTTTCTAATTGTTATGTTCCTAAAATTATTATTATTAGCGATAAGACTGTATGAAAAGCTAAAGATTGAACAATGTTTATATAAACAGGGCTACGTTACTGTAAAAATAACATTATGCTTTTAAAACCCTTTTTTTAATGGATTTGAGGTCCAAATATCCATTGGAAAAGCCACTTTTATCTAATATCATAGAATTTGACTAGGTACCAAAAGACTGCCGACACATTACTGTGGAGGGAAAACTCACTAGCGTGACCCACATATTGCCTCCCATGGCGTTCAATTTAAAATAATTTCAAATATCACAATAAAATTTTGTTCTAAATACAACCTAATCAAAAATGTTAATAAATTAATCACAATCACTGAGATCTCTTTAGAATTCTTTTTTAAATATAGTTTATTTTTTTATTTGTCATTGTTATATAAATAAGCAGCCTTAAATGTTATTTCACGAATACATTTTAATAATAAATAATTAAAAAAAACGTAAAAACTTTTCTAAATAAGTCTTCGAATATAATTTAAAAACTAATTTTGAGACCAAATCTTTTAAAAGACCGAATTTAATAATACTTTTTTTCACAATCTTATTTTTAAATTAATTTCTGCTAAACATAAAATCTGAGCAATCATATTTCGAACTTATCACATATAGAACAAGATTGTTAGTCTCTTAACTACATAAAGATGTAAATAAATATACATAAAATTAATTCAAATATCGTACAAGATTCTGTACTTATTCACTGGGCGGTCAATAGACCATTGTAATCTAAAATTGGGCCATTTCGCTTAAAACCTATATTACTTAGATTAATTCTAATTTCAACTTTATTGCTTTGTTCTTACTTGACTACTTTTAGGTTAGTATTACGACACACAAACTACGTATTAGTGGAATGGGTTGGGTACTAATGATACATGGATTACAGAATATATATCGATATTTGAACTAAATATTTTCTATATTAGACTTTAAAATTAAGATATTAAAGTATAATATAGTATGTTTTAGTAACAGAAAAACGAAATATCTTTATCTTATGCAAGATTGGACCTTAAATTCATAGAATTAAATTATAAAATGTATAATATCTAATAGTTAAGAAATATTTAGTTCAAACATCGCAAATTAGTGACAAAACCAACACACGTGTGAATACACAGATATTATGTACACTACAAAACAGATTATATCAAGAATGAAGTGCCATACCACAGATTAAACTAATAATGAAGTTATTACCTATACAACCAAAGAGTATGTAAATGTATGCAACTATGAGATTAGCCAATCACAGTTCGAAATTTGAACATGAAATATCAATATCATTATTTTTTATTCCCAAAAGGTGAATTTCGCCAGTATGATAAAAAGATACACGAAAAATAATGAGACAATTGTCACTAACCGCCGTACTCTGACACAATTAATAATTACTTAAACTTTTCCTTAGTAATATATAATAATATAAAAAGTATTTTACTAAGAAGGCAAACCCAAAGCTTTTTTTTGATCGAAGAAAGTAATGGAATGTGTTTTATTGGCCTAGATGGGGCGAGTGTCAGAGCCTTACTGATTAAACCCAGTTACTTCCCCTGCTATTTATGGCTATGGCGAGGGGGATTGTCACTTTTACTGACTTAAAATCACCCCGTTCCTCCAACTGCTCAAGGGCCTACCAAAAGTTAAAGCGTCAATCTTCCGGGCGAGAAAGAGGGATGGAGCTATAAAAGGTGTATAGCTCCATCCCTTTTTCTCGCCCTCTCATGGTAGGCCTACAGGGGGGCGATACATTATTGCACTGAACATTGGCCTTATTGCGCCTATTGTCTTAGTATTTTAAAGCGTGCACAGAACGCTGCGCTATTTTTACTTTCTGGACTGGGTTTAGTAACACTTAAAAGACTCAGAGTACAGAGGCAAAGTATAATCATGAAAGATTGAATGAATATAGTGGAGTATCAAACATATTTTTGACAATTCGAGTCATATTTGTCTAAAATATGACCATGGCACTTTAACTGGTCTGGAAGATCGTTGGTATTATGTACAACTCATTGGTTTGAAATAATTGACTATTTCTTTTATAATATTAGTCAATAGTATTTGTTTATATTTATGGAAAAAAATATTTCTAATTTACTGTAGTACTTGTAAGTAGTAACCTATATCTATTATGAAAAAAAATAGTCAACTAGACAGTGAGATTTATAGGAAAACTGACTTTTATGTTTAAAGGAATTTGATCTCTACTTCAATATAATCTTAGAAAGCAGTGACATAATTTATAAGGGTTGTAACGTGTTTGTCAATATGTGTATTTCATGAAATTGATTAAAAAAAACGGCAAAAACATATTATAAAGTTACACAGATCTGTTTATATAGGACATTCTGCGTGATTTCACTGGCAAAAAATGTCAGTGCATATTCAGGTTCATAGGCCATCAGTTTAACTTAACCTCATCTGTCATTTTATTAATGAATTTTCGACTTTATGAAAAAAACTAATAAAAGGAGTAGTTTGATTTTCTGATCAACTGTACTACAACAGATTAGTTGATTATATACAGTTTTCCTATAACTAATATTCATTTTGTTAGTCACAATAATGACAATTGAACATTGATTGTTACCACAAGGGTGTTTTTGGAGGTGGGGCAATCATCAAATGTTTTCTCAGGATCGGGCCGAGGCACGCCCATCAAAGAGTTAAATAGATCACCACAGACGGGGCCCTACAGGGCCGATGTTTAGTCAGGGTTGCGGAGCAAGCGCAATAAGGCATCGCGGCCTCGGCCAAGAGCAGGAGAAGGAACGGGGGGTTTTTAGTCAGTAAGAGTCTGACACTTCCTCTCGCCTTAACCTGGGCGAGGGTAGGAATTTAATGATTTTTCCCTCACGATTAAAAATTTCGGTACATTATAGCGTTTGGACCCGCAACGCCGGCTGCAGCAGGAGAAGGAACGAGGTGATTATTAGTCAGTAAGAGTCCGACTCTCTCTAGCCCTATTAAGGGCAGGAGAAGAAATTTGATGATTGTTCCCCCTCGAAAAAAACTTAAATAGTGACCTCAGGCAGCATGCAATTTGACGGACACAAACAAAAAGCACTATACTTCTTTTTTTCTTTAACATAGGAAAAGATGCGCAGGCAATATCTACATGGGTGTTATTTTAAGCGCTAATTGGAAGTTAGATAGAGACAACACTACTAACAATTAACGTCACGCTACATAAATCTCTTGTATTACTTTTGTGCGACAAGGACGGAGTATACAATTTTTATTGTTACGTGTCTTTAAATAATTTATCTTTTCAAATCTATTTGTACGAATAATTTCTTCAATGATAATAAATAGTTTTGAACTTAAAGCTATAATTTGGCCTCAGCATAGTAGTTATTGCTTACAGTTTTAATAATCTAGCATTAGCGCAAATCGATTGAGTGCGCACAAAACTGCGCTTACATTTCTTTTATGAATGTATGACATACATATCCTATAACTTTCAATTCCTTTAAGATCATCAATAAGTATGTTAGAATCTGAAACACTTTGCTTAATTGCGCTATTTCTACTTCAATAATATATTTGCGCAAATAGACATTTTTAATTAAGCTGCGCAAACATTTTTTCTATACAAAATTTGGCATAACTTTAATAAACTTGGATATAATATAAAAATTTGAACGTTGCGCATGTTTAAGCGCAATGGTTACTAATGCGCAAAAATTGGATATTGACAGCAATTGACTATCTACTAATCGTTAACGCTATAGAAACTTAAAACCATATATGTGATGCTTTTAACATCATTTTATTCTCTCGTTTTTTATTAAAACCTGAACTTTTTATACTACAATCTCAAACCCCAGCCTAGCGTAGAGATTATGGCAATAAAAATTGTTAAGAAGGTTTAAAGTTCAGTAGTAAAAATTCACTTTAGATGGTGGTAATGAATCTCTATGCAATTGCTTCATTATAGCTTTAACGATAATAGAAAATCGACAAAAAACTTTATTCAAAATGGCCGTCAAATTGCACGCTACCTTCACCACAAGTTTCAAGCTTCAACAAGAGCTACAAGCAACAGATTGGCCACCAACACCGAGAAGTGAGTGAATGTTGTTACTGCGGCGTTGTCATGGTAACGGAGCTGCGACTTACCCGCCGTCAGGGAGCGAGGGTGCCGGTGGACGGTCATGTTCAAAGAGATTGGAGACGACTGGTCTTCTGGGATGGTAATCGTTGTGTATGGGGGAATGGAGTACCTGGAAAGGATGGAAAAGGTTTAATTATATTTATTTTAACGTCTTCATTTATCTTACTCAAGCTTGCTCGACAAGTTTCGAGTAAAACCAGGACTCTTAACAGTAATGATAAAAACTACAATCTCACACAACGAGAATCTCGTGAAATCTGTAAAATATCAAGTATGAAAATCTCTTTGTTTATGTGATTATTAACATATGGGATGCCAAGTCAGCAATCATTACCCCAATGGTCATCTCTGTCAATAGTTTTAAAGCCAAAAGACCCGACCAACACATCATTAGAAAAGGTTCAAAGGCCTGAGGCATTAAGCAGTACTTCTGAACACGGCGCGGTTTGTCTGGAAGATTCTTTCTTAGAACTCTAGATCACCGGTGTCTTTTGGTTGGGAATACTGTTTTTAAAAACGGAAAACCAAAGCTAAATAAATTTATATGACAAGAATACTATTAATGTGATTAAGATTGATTTGTGTTGATTTTTTGTCTCACCCAGAGGCAACAACAGTGATGTTGTATTGTCCAGGTAGCAGCATGCGCCAATAGTAGCCGTGTTCTGTAGTGCGCACCGCGTGATCGTTGCCTTCTATTTTGATCTGGGCGTTCTGAAAGTATAAATACAAAATTAAAAACATTTACCTAAATCTCGGATTCTCTGCTGTGTCAGACAAGGAACAACAATTTCTTTGATCATACAAATATTTGTTGTCTGGGCGAAAATCTAATCCACGCTTTCAACAAACACAAAAGATACATCAAACATCCAGTCAAATCAAAATTCTTCTAAAAGTAGGAAAGAAAATGAGGTAGGATAGCCTCTTTATTAGATTATGCAAACAGATCAGCTGACACTGCGTATCATATAACAACATAATTATTATTAAAAGGGCATTAACGCGAAAAGTAATTATTTAAAGCAGTCTGCTTGCGACCACGACCTATCCAAAGGTCGAAAAGTCAAGCCTTCTAAGGTATTTAAATTATTACTTTTCGCGTTAATACCCGTTTATATTAATGTTAACGATAAACGCGAAAGTATACCAGTACTTGGGAATTTTCGATACTGCCAGAAATTGCAGCAATCGATATGATCGAAGAGAATCGACCATGTATAGTAGAAAATAAGAGCCAATTTACCTTAACCGGCTCTCCGCCTTCATCGACCACAATTCCAGTAACACCTAAATGTGTTTTTTCTATGAAGGATAGTAAAGAGTCTTTATTCAGCTCCTAATACTTAGCATTTTTGACGCAGCCAGAAATTGCAGCAAGATAGGAAGAGAATCGACCATGTATAGTAGAAAATAAGAGCCACTTTACCTTGACCGGTTCTCCAGCTTCATCGACCACAATTCCAGTGACACCTAAATGTGTTTGTTCTATGAAGGACAGGAGAGAGTCTTTATTCAGTTCCCAGTACTTGGGCATTTCTGCTGCAGGGGGGTACTTGCAGCAGGAGAGCTCGAAGGTCACCTCGAAGCAGTTTGAATGCACGTAGTTAAAGTCTTGCATGCCACCTGCAAATCATTTTGCGTATTAATTGCGCGTGTGACCTACATTTTGTATTAGTATTGTTGATTTTGATGTTAAAGTTTTTGGTCTATTGTTGAGATGATTTCAGTCTTCGCTTGGCTAGAATTGAAACTGAGAATGGAATAAGTGAATTAATTACTTTTAATTTTGCTTTGAAAGTTTTGTTGTTGTCCAGAGAATTTGGAAATTCATTTCTTAAGTCGGACCTTAAATGTGGAAAATGGAAACACTCTTATAGTCTTAGAAAGTGAGTTAAAAACGTGTAATTGCTTATCAATGGGACGATATATTCTTATTATTACTTTTGTAAGAGCTAAATTGAAGTCAAAACAAATAGAACCAACCTTGTACTGAATACCAATGCGCTCCATTAGTGAGTCCGCCATCAAAATGTTCAGGAGGACACGTGTCTCCCGCCCTCATCTCTGCGTTGCGTGATGCGTACACACTGGCCAAGTGTTTGAATAAAGAATCGTCGGGCGAACGACTTTCTTCACAGCATTCTTTGCCCGTACTAAAATATTAGATAGAAGTGTGAACTTACTTTTTATTTTGGCATATGGATACATATACACAGACAAAGTTTGGAATAAAACCTCACATACTGTACTACGGATAAAGTCGCTGGCAGAAGCTAATATTTATCAAAGAGCATTTAATACGTTCGCTTTCAATTACATTTGTAAGATAGATTGGTGATCATACTTTCTATATTTTATTTTTATTATATGTCTATATTATTATATTAAAAGTCTCTAATCTAAATAAGATAAGAGACTTTTCCGAATTACAAAAAGGTCTAATGCTCTTTGATCGGAGTAAAAACACTTTTATTTGCAACTTCGGAAGGCTGTCAAGCAACTACATTAAATAATGTTTAGTTGAAAAAATACTGTAGTACTGCATCTCGTGGGATGGTAAGACGTTCGCTGAATTTAATTTGAAATTCAGTACAAAAAAAATAAACAACCTACAACTTAATTAGACAACAGAACAAGGCAAAGATAAGTTCAGTTTTTTTAATGGGACAAGCCTTCCGCATCCTCCCAAACTCCTGTAAGCCAGGATCTACAGTAGATACAACCATGAAAACACCGGAACACTGAAGCCCGGCGCGTCTCAGGGACATGAATGACTGTCTTGGATCCCGAAACGAAATAAATCAGAAGATATTATTTGAGGAGAAGAAAAAACGATGAAGTAAAGATTACAAACCTGGAGTCATCGTAAGGATAACTGGCAACAACAGCTCCACCATGCAGGTTCCCTGACAACACGAACTGCTTGCTGGTCACCCATCGCATTAACGCCACGGTCTCAGGCTGGCGACCCCCGAACATGTACTCATCATCATTGGATTTATGCTTATCAAACTGGTCTGGAAAATCCCTGTTTAGATCTACCCCCTTCGCGTTGTTTCGGCCCTTATATTCTTTTAGGGATTCGCAGTTACTCTCCTGAAATAAAAAAAAGCATTATTTATTATTAAGGGGAAACGGAGGTTACTAATTAGATTTAAAACCTTATTAGACCACCACTGACGGGGCTCAATCGGGTCGAATTTTTAACCAAGGTTCCAGTCCAGGGCAAGCTTAATAAGGTATCATGGCCTAGGCCTGGAATAGGAGAAGGAACGGGGTGGTTTTTAGTCAGTAGCAGTCAGACACTTTCTCTGCCTTTGAGACAAGTCCTTTAGTTGATGATAAAAAACAAGCCATTCAGTTAACGATCACTGTTTGGTAACACAGTACAATTTCAGTAGATATTTCATTATATACCTATAGTACAACACAGATACAGGCATTACTTGCTTACAGGGGAGCTCCAGACACTAAAATTACGAATGTAACTTGTTGAAGGAATAAAATATTTTGTATTTTTGTATTGTATTTCGCCTTATCTTGGGCCAGATAAGTCATTTGATGATTTTCTCACCTCAAAAAAGCCAAATAGTTAACGGCCTAAGCTGTTTAATAAATGATATTTCAGTACAATAAATTCTAGTAGCAGTATATATCTGATGACTACAATATTTTTGTGCGAGTCGCACGTTGCAGTTTAATTCAAAAGGTCAATAAGGTCATTCACACATTAGTTTTAATAACATAACTGTCGAAATAGTAAACTAATAGAGCTCCCACACTGCTATTAAAAATGTTTACTAACATTATATAACTATTTTCATATACATTTAATCACAATGTTATGCAATTGTAAGTGAATCGAACAAACATTGCTGTGGGAGCTCTCTTAGGACATGATGACCAGCACCGGTGCCAACAGGATCGTGGGAAAAGGCTCTCACATTGACTATAGGGAAATATCCGTCGTGACGTTATTAAAACAGGCTAAATGCGTTTGTTGAATGAGAATCGTCTTCAGTATTAGTTGTTACTAGCTTTCGCACGCGGCTTCGCCCGCGTTGTATGTTGATATAAAGTAGCCTATGTAATATTCCGAAGTGGATCCTATGCCTGTGCCAAATTTCATCCAGATCCGTCCAGCCGTTTTGGCGTGATTGAGTAACAAACATCCAAACATCGTAACTTTCGCGATATAATAACCAACAGCAGACGACTTGGTTCTTGCTCTTTAGTCGCCAACTGCACAAATGTTTGTACTATTAAAATCAATATTATTTTTATAGCCGCAGACATCTTCTTGTTCTTTATTACAGTGAGAATTCTCGTTAAATAACTTATTGTTTTATTTGAAAAGTTTTTATTAAGATCGTAAATGGGAATGTTACTTATTGGTCGACCGTTAAAATAATGCAATTGGGTACTGCCAATGCCACAGTAATATTATTATATCTATATGCGATAAGTCGAAATACTTATTTGAGTTGTAAAAATGGACATTTTCTTTGAATTTTGTACGAAATAATGTGTTGTGACGTTCGTTATTTATAAAAATTGTAGAAAAATATCTAGAATTAATTACTGCGCAAAATCAACCAGTGAAAGATAGGTAGATCGTTTCATTGTATTAAAAATTCTAACAAAAATAGTTTTATTTAAGGCCATCCAATTAAACCCAATGAACAGGGTTTTAGAGGAAACAGGGCAGATTTTTCAATGGTTAGATAAAATTTATCTGGGGAATAAAATTGTATGTAGCTGTCACTGTCTATAAAAACGTTCTGACACGACAGTATAATAATTATTCCCCAGATAACTTTTATCTAACCATTGAAAAAATCAGGCCTTAGTACTAAAAAACGTTTTTCACAAAACAAAATCAAACAAGGGTTTCGTAACATGTTAAGATATAACGTGTAAAACCGTTTTGTTTTCAGCACTGAATCGAATGAAATAATTTACATAAGAAATATCGTGATGGCTGGCAATGAGTCAGTCACGGATATCAGGTACTAATGGATAACGTTCACGTACAAAAGGCGCCCACAAACTTGGCAGTTCATGTAGGAATTGTGTTAAAACTAGTTTAGTTGGTGGTAAGATTGATATTTCATTGCCTGAATTGTATGAAGAGACACCTTTTTGCTGGCCAAATTTATTTTAGAGATCAGTAGTAATGCATAGAAACTACGCGATTTGTAGGCGTTGTGCTTTGAAAACTATTTTGACAACAAACCACGAACATGATTCTAAACGTAATTCCACAATATTTTTGTAGTACAGTCTAAAAAATTCTCTATTATTATAACAATCAGAACAATTTCGAAGGATATCGATGTCACCAATCGTAGCCATTATATGCGTACGGCAATTATATTACTTTTTCTAACGGTACAACTGTGACGTTTCTCTAACTATTGATATTAACCTACATACCATTGAATCGACTGCAACTAAACAATCAAGTTGTAAATATCTACCATGAGTAGTTTCAGAATTATGGAATATTATATCAAATTGGGTTTTAATAATGGCCAGTAAGTTGGCATAAATCTCACTTGGACCTTCATAATCATGTGATGAGCTGCATAATATTTGCTTTAAATTATTATTTTAATGACTCAACTTTTTTATCCGTGATATGTCTACCTAGCTACATCTTTTGTGTAATCAAGATGTCTACCTGTACGTACCTACCTACATCTTTTGTGTAATCAAGATATTTAGACAAGATGGTCATTTTATTTCTGTTGGGCATTTTGAAAACTACGAGAGAGACAGATACAGATGAAACGACAGATGTTTTTAAAAGTCTTTATTGCACATCTTACTACCCCGACAGTTCAAAAGTGCTTTTTATTTTCGTGTAGGTTCTTTTCTTTTTTCTTGAACTTTGATCTAATTATTTCACGTAGAATGTAACTTATCAAATACTAAGATATACAGATGTATTTTGCATAGTACTTAAGTAGCAAGTGTGTCGCTTATTGCTGCTTTTACGTGGGCAGCATTTGATCCTACGATCTAAACTGCACTGAGTTTCTGTTCACTTTTAGACACTTGTATTCGTTTCAGTATTTTTCTCAGAATATTTGAAACACTGAACTCATTTGGGATCTTGATTCAGTCAGAGCTGCGGGGCAAACGTTATACCTACTTAAGGTCAAGAAGGGGGGCAAGAGAAATAACGGGGTGGATTTTAGTCAGTAAAGGCCTAGCACTCCTTCCCTTCTACCTTGGGTGAGAGAAGCCATTTGACGTCTTTACCACACAAAAACAAATTGGGCTAGATGATAGAGATCAGATAAAACCGGACAGCAGAAACTTCTTGAATGTTTGAAATCCTAGTGATGGTGCAGTTCTCCTCTTACGTCCTCTCCTTCATAGCAACTAGCAACCGTCCATTTTCGGCGGATGACGAAGAATTCATATACATAGCTAGCTATGCAACAATTGTATACAGACATTACTAGACTTAATGTTGTAGGACCATTTTGTGCATGACTATTAGCATTTATAAGCGGACAAGAAAACATATTGCAGTTATCATTATGTAGGTACTATCGACATCACTTCACATCCCAACATAGTCACACTTCTACCAAGAACCTACGTATATTATTAATCAAAGATATACACACATAACAAGTAATTAATTGTCTCTCATCTCAATGAATAACAGACCCTAATGCAGAAGGACATACGGTTTGATTTAGTTTTTCTGAGTACGTGGAAAGTTTCAGTGTTTATATGAATATTGCAGTTTATTTATCGGCGCATGTCAATGACCTATTGGACGTGCAGTTGCAATAAATAACTCCCTTGAACCTAAGTGCATTGATGAGATAAGACACTTCATGACAGAATAAAGTAAATGGACTAATCTTCGTTCCTTTGACTACAGCAAAAGTCATAGTCAATAATTTAAGTAGTAAAAAATATATTTTACGGAATTAAAGATCATCTGATGGTAAGCAATTAGCACCACCTGTAACGCCAGTCTTGTAACGAAATAGTAGTCGGCTGTTTGAGAATCAGGGTATTAGGGATAGGGCAGGAATAGACCCGTTTGTTAACCTATTTCAAGCAAAATTATAAATGTTCATTCAAAAGTGCAATAATAATTGCAAAATGGTTATATGAGCATTCGTCCTCTAATGGCAATATTTCTTTAGAGTTCGATGTTTGTGATGACTCCATATTCCCATCTACATATTAAGAGACATTATAATCAGGTAAAATTTTAGTCAGTAAGAGTCTGACACTCCCTCCCGCCCGGCACTGGGCGGGAGAAGCCACTTGATGATTTTCCCCTCACAAAAAAAAAACGATCATTAGGCGCAAAAGCACTTAAAAAAAAGCAAAAAACCGTACTGTATTTTTATAAGCAGATACCTACATACTTTTACAGAAGCCGAGGGGTTATATTACTTATATCAAACCGTCAGGTGTAACCGTTATGCATCTTAGTGCCTGCACTTACGACAATTAGACCATCCAAGTTACTCAGCTGTTATGCTTAATAAAGTAGACAGATAAAATGAACCTTACTGCTTTATAATAAAGGCTGTTATTAACTGTAGTTTAAGATCTCTTTGTCAAGGCTAGAAAAAAAGTGTCTTGTGATAGTAGGAAATGCTATGACATTACAGTACAGTAGTGGGTCAGTTTTTTATTGACTATTGTTGCTACCTATGTGTTGCGTACTAAGTAACACTTTGCATTCGATATTTTACACAATTATAAATTGCTTATGAATGAGAAAAACATCGTTTTTTTTACTTTATATTACGTATTCAATCTGGACCATAGTATCGTAGGCCCGAAAAGTGCTAGAGTGGCGACCGAGGACCGAAAAACGTAGTGTGGGCAGAGTCGACATCGTCAAAGTCGCGGGGAGCCAATGGATGCAGGTGGCAGCTTGTCGTTTGACGTGGAGAGCTAAGGGGGAGGCCTTTGTCTAGCAGTGGACGTCTTCCGGCTGATGATGATGATGAATTCAATCTAGTGATTGATTAAGACATAAGTTGTGATGTTCAATATAACTCCATAGATCTATTTGTCAGTCTTATTAATAACCAGATTCCAAGTGTGTGTGTGGGAGAGCAATGCTTCGGCAAAAAAGCGATTTCACTTTGTGTGCAAGCATGCCTATGTTATTTTTCGTGTGGGAGAGCCATGTTTCGGTACGAATAGGCGGGCTCGACCGAAGTAATACCATGGCCATGGCCCCCCAGAAAAACGGGCGCGCGAACTGGTTTGAGGGTAGGTATAGACGAGAGGGACTTTCAGTCTCTTACTGACTAAAAGCCCGGGCCGCGGTACATCATTGCTCTTGCACCCGCAATCCCAGCAAGCGTGAAACAATGGTTGCTTTGTGTTTCGCCGTATGGGTGAGATTATTGGAGGCCTAACATTCCCATTCCCTATCCTCAAATCCCTTTTCCCCAAAAGGAAGGCTACACATTCGTAACATCTTCAGTGTTGCCTGCATCCGTGAACGGCGTCGATTGTCTAACATCAGATGATGCGTAAGCTCGTTTGCCACCTACCAACTTACACTGAAGTATAGAATATTCAAAATTTAAAATCCGTAGCTTCCATTTCGTTACTTACAATTGTTAATTTGCCTTTCCTGTTGTTTACTTTGAACAATGTTTCTGACATGCTTAGTTATGGAATTACGTTATATTAGTATATATCTTTTACACTATAATAATTAAGATAAAATGTATTATGTTCAATATGTACATTGTGAATTGGGGGTAATGGTAAATCCCCTCTATAAAGATTATTTGAAATGAAGACATTACTGAGAAAAAGTATTTTGACTTGAACAAATATGTTTATACAGCTGAAGAGTAAAAACAATGGGATAATAATTTCGTTTGAGAAAAAAGACTCACAGGTAGCAACCTAATTAACCTAAATAATGTTGGTGTAATTAAGGTTTGAGAGATCCACTGGATGCAGGTAACTTCCAACCGGACTATCTGGAAATCATTGGGGAAGGCTCGCACTATTCAGCAGTGGACATCTAGCTGATATGATGATGAAAAGAGTTTCTGCAGACCAGGATTCTTAGTATCTACAGTGACTCTTTGGTGCACTAATTTATCAGTCAGTTACAGAATCAGTAATTTATATCTCCAGTTTAAATCACAATAAATAAATTGTGATCTAATGTCACATGTTTCTATTTTATTTTATTAATACAGAGTGAAACACTAACAGGTATCTAAAATTAATTTGAATTCAAAACCAGGTGATAGAACAGGGACATTTTGAAATTATTTATAGAGTGCTGTCCATAATTATAGTGTCATTAATTTACCTTTAACTTTCCACCTAAGTTATTTTCTTTATTACCACATTGTTTACCTGACGGGAGGGGAAGGGGGAATGGTTTAATTTAGAAGACACAACAGGACAAGGATTAGTCTTAATCAAATAAGCATACTAATCAAGAGTCTATCAAAAAAAAAACATGTTGATATAAATGAATGTGGTGATTACAATTTAAGTAAAGAAGACAAATATGTTTGATTGGCTATGAGTGCTGATTATGTATGATATGTCCAGCATTGGACAAAATCAGGCTGATGATGATCAGTGCTGATTAATATTTCATGCTCTACTTCGATATTGTAAGTCAAATTGACTCCATCAAAAATAAAGTGTTTCCACAAATAACTAAATCTATTCAAATTTAGTTTTTAGTAATTTTCTAGAAATATAACTTTACAGTTATACATGTTATACTAAAATCATAAAACATAGCAATCCCATACTAAATACATAGAATATTACATTTTTCATAATTTCAAAAAAAAAGTCACAATATTTTTTTCATTCCTTCTATTACCTCTATACTTAAGAGAAAGCCCGTGTTTATTAATTTATAATAATATAATAAAAATATAATGGCTGTCAAGCCATTAATCTCATTGGATTAATCTACATTACCTATATTAAAAACAAAACACATTTCTCTCGGTAATGGCATCATGCATGAACAGCTAGACAAATCCTGATATTTATTTATGTGTATGTTTATCATAAGGAGAGGGTTCTTATGAAAGAAAATTTCAGGAAAATAGATGTAAAAGTTGAGAAATATCAACTCATTGATGAGGCAGTGGTTCACTGAAAAAACAAATGACTGACCGAGGTAGTTAAACAACTCTGCAAAGCATTGGTGAGCTGTGAGTACTTGATTGATATTTATATTTTTTTAAGAACTATTGAGTTTTCATATGGCCCTGATGTTTGGAGGAAAGGGTCTTGGACAAAAACAGGGGTTCAAATAGAAAAATTACGAAGCAATACTTCAATATTTTACTTTTATATATATGTGAATAAGTAAGGTATATAAATATTGTTATGAGGAAAGCTATCAGCCATAATCGTAGCTTATTCAATATAAGAGTTACCTTCCAATTGACAGATAAGTGTATACAGTGACAAACATTACATAAGAGACCAGGTAAACCAGTTGATTTAATACTTAGAGACCTGTTTCTTACAAGAATGCTATTGGTAAAACCAGTACTAAGTATTGTTATTATAAATTTACCAAAAATATGTTTACTTACCTCACTGCTTTCAAAGCCATCAGGGTTCAATGACGGCATCAAGTGAATGTCAGTCGTGTTTAGAAGCTTCGTCACTCTGTCGTCCTTCCCATAGTTAGCCAACAGGTACTGCGCCAGGTACACCATCAGCTGTCTCCCCACAGACTCATCTCCATGCATATTAGCCACGTATTTAAACGACGGCCGTTCATAATGCGGCGTTTTCACATCCTCGCTTATTTGCAGAACCAACAGTTGCCGTCCTTGCACCGACTTCCCAATAGAATACGATTTGATCAGGTCCGGGTAAGTCGATTCTAATTCACTGGTTAACTTCAACAAATCATCGTATCTTGTGTACTTTGGGTGTAGGAGGAAATGTTCGTCGATTTCCTCGACAGACCGAGACGCACAATTATCAATAAAAAGTGCAAATAACACAAATAAACACGTGTGAACTAGCAACATGTTTGCTCCTCTATAAAGAGCTGGTCATGAGCGCGAGGGTATTTACCGTTTACAGCCGATACAGGAACGTAAACACTACTTTATCGCCGTAAACATGTTCAGCAGCACTACGTTCAATGTAAATTAATTACAAAAATGATAAGAAGGGTAACAATAGGTATTTGTGTGCTTTGACAGCTGACGCATTTCACACTCCGTTTTGTTCTCTGCAGCCAGTGAGTGACGAATTCTAAAAAATATGTTGCCAGACTTACGTAAAAATTTACCCATTTACCTTTTATGCCATTGGATTCAGCTGTAGTGTAGATTTCAATGGATGAAAATTCTGAATCTTCAATTAATTATTACCATGAGGTGTTTGTTACTCTTATATAATGATATTGCAATTGAAGAAAATTATTAATGCTGTAGGTACCTATAAAAATACAAATAGCCAGCCAGCCAATAAGAAGAAAGATAGTAGTAGTATTTTACCAAAGAGTATCATTTAAAGCAGTTTATAACACCAAATAGAAAGATCACGTTAAAAAACAAATACATTAAATAAGAGCCACAAAAATTAAATGACAGATTACCTAGTTTGATGGAGTTTAGCATAGGCTGGTATCATTTCGTACAGTTTGTCACTTGACGTGTCAACTAGTACGTTACGTTTTACGCAATACACTTTGCATTTATGAATGTAAATATTAAGATTAGTATTTTCTGAATAATAAAAGTAAACTTACCTTACTAACTTAATATCAAAAGTCAAAGTCAAAGTCAAAAATCATTTATTTCAATTAGACCACAGTAGGCACTTTTGAACGTCAAGCAAGCAAAAAAGGAAAAAAGTATATAATATGAGCTTTAAAATTAAGCGTGTCAGTCTGTCCGTCCGTCCTCTAGTGAAGCTATTTGCTCGTTCCAAAGTGTAGATTCCTATGGAGAAGAACGAGCAAGAAACTCCATGGTTACTCTTTCGAGAAATCTTTCTTTCTCCTCGAGAAATCTAATCTTATTTGTATTGTGTAATTTGCATTGTAAATTAGAACCATGTTAAAAAATATTAAGTACCTCTGGATGTAAAATAATGGCATGTAAGAAAGCGTGATTAGTGTCATTTTGAAATATGAGTTTTATTCAAAGTAGAGGCAATTTTGAATTTCGAAGGATAGGTATGGGTTTTTTCTCCTCCCTTCTCTCCTCAAACATCGCGTTACGATCTTCGAGTTGTCTACTTTCTGTGTTTCTACTCTCTCTCTACTTTTTGTTCTGTGTGTGTCCGTTGTCACTTTATTAAAATTAAAATTGGGAAAAATAATACTTTGTGCATTTCCCTATTCAAGTACCATAACAGACTCCAAAAATAGACATTTAGGTGTACTTAACAGTACACTACACCAATTGACATGTTGTCATAGTGACAAATTAATTTTTTTTGATACTAATAAATTTATTAGTGATTTTATATTGACAGAGAGAGGCATATCCCTCTCAAACACATATAGAAAAACACTTGCTATGCTAATAGCATTCAATATTAACTCTGTTATAAAAAATATAACAGATATTAGTTTTAGGGACGAATCTGTGCTGTCTAGGCTACCTAACAACACAGAGATAGATTTAAACTAGATTTTAAGACAACAGAACATACCATCATATATAATGTTAGTAGTAAGGTATATTCTGGCAAAAAAAAACTTATATCAAATGTTGTTACACAGGCTCAGGGGAAGCACCATCTTATCTTATTTTATATTAATATTCAGGGCTGCTCCTCTAAATTATTTGAATTAGAAATGTTCCTTGAGAAAACACAATTTGATATTGTGTGTTTAGCGGAACATTGGATGAAAGAGGACCAATTAATATCTTTTAATTTTGATAATTATATTGTAATAAGTAATTTTAGTAGAAAATATATGTTACATGGTGGGTCCTTAATTTTAGTTAAAAATGGCATTAAGTCCAAAGAAAGGAAAGATATTGTAGCACTGTCAGTTGAACACACTATTGAGTTGTCCTGTGTTGAGCTGGATAAACATGTTGTTGTTTGTGTTTATAGACCACCTAATTATCAGAATCTTGCAGTGTTTGATTCAGTAATGGAAGATGTTTTGAAGAAGGTATGTTCTAGCCATAAATCAGTACTTGTATGTGGCGATTTTAACATTAATTTATTGGAAAACAATGCAGGCAGCATGGAACTATTAAATTTGTTTGGATCATTTAATTTAAAAAATGTTTTTCTGGAACCGACTAGGATAACACCATCCACTGCCACATGTATTGATAACATTTTCAGTAACAGTTACTATTTAGAAAAAAAAATTTTAAACAGTTTACCTTCTGACCACAGTGGTCTTGTGGTAACTTACAGCACTTATTTGCCTCTACAAAAAATTCAAATAAAGTTTAGACATATTACAAATAGAAATTTAGAGAAACTCAATAATTCAATAGCAACTAAATTAAGTGTACAAAATTTTGATGTCATTAATCCGAGCAGGTTATACGAAAAATTTTTTGCGGTGTTAAATAGGGAATTTAAAGCTATTTTGCCAATGAAATGTAAAGACATCTATTCTAAGTTTCAGTTTAGCGATTGGGCAACCGTAGGTATTCGTAAGAGTAGAGATAAACTTTTTGAACTTTATGGCATGAAACCATTCAATTGCGACCCCCTTTTCATCAACATGTAAAATTGTACTCAAAAACATTTAGAATAGTATGCAAAGCCGCAAAGCGACTTTTCATCAGTAATAAAATAAAATCAGCTGATGACAAGATAAAGGCTACGTGGAAAATAATACAGAATGAGACAGGTAGGAAACGATTAAAAAATTCGGAATTTTGTTTAAACACTGAAAGGGGACAGATTTCGTCAAGCAAAGATGTAGCTCAGGAGTTTGAGGCATTTTTTGCTAATATACCTGTCTCAACAACTGCTCATTTAGAATCATCAGCTAGACTATCGGTAACTTTGCTTAGAGAAAATGTCAAATCATGCAAAGACGATTTTAGTTTTCATTATACTAATCCTTTAGAGATAATAAAGGTTTTTAAAGAAATCAAGATTAAATCAACTGAGGACCTTTGGGGACTATCGGTGAAAGTCTGCGGATCACTTATCCGAACTGAATGTTCTATTTAAAGCTGTGTAGTCATTAGATATTTCAAATCAAGAGTAAATACAATACATATTATCACGATCACACATCACTATACATAACGTAACAAACATAAATAATACAATTTAATGGCGAAATTACAGGATATCTAGCAGCTAATAGTTTAACTCGAATTAATTTAATTAATACTAAAACAATAAACAACACGAGACGTCCAACATACATACAGGAAATATACAAAAAGGTACTACTTACATCAGTGTATAAAAATATATTAAAAATCGACAGTAAATGCATAAAAAGTAGTTGCTATTTACATTATTCCATTAATAAAATAAGGCACGTGACATTTCCTTTCACGTTTTTCCCGCCAACTTCAGACCACAGATTAAAATTATTTCTTTGTGCAGAGTGTGTGTGTACAAACGTACGTATAAAATAAAAAAAATATGTTGAAATCTTTACTTAAAATAGGAAATTGACTTGCCCATTTCAATAAAATACTGTCTTTATCTTAACTATTCTAGAAAATTCTATCAGGCTCCTTCTTCTAATTACATTCCTTTTTTGCAAGCTCTTTACATAGAAGCCAACATTGGTGCCAATATTTGAAGCAAACATGCCACACTTGTACGAGTACATGCACAATTGAAGATAATAGCTAACCGTAGACCCTTTATATTTAACAAGCATTTCTATTACTACAATTATTTACATTTCCATGGCAACGGACAGGACGGCACAAAGCTGCTTCTTGACTTCACGGAAATTTAGGACACTTAGGATATGACATATAAGCATTAGAATTACAATTGTAAATTTTCTATCCAGTAAGTAATTTCGGAGTTTATTCAATGCAAAGAAAACAATCGACCAAATCTATGCTGTTTGTAACATTATGGACATTCCAGTCTGTGTATTATCTATTGAATTCCACTTGGCCAATTGGTGGCGGTGGAAGTAAAAAATGTAGAAAAATACATTTAAGTATGAAGTATTCTTAATAAGGCATCGTGCGTACGCGCATGCTATTAATATACGAGTTGTTTTAGATTTCAGTGTCCACGCTATCGAACTAGAATTTTTTAAATTTATTACATTAGAAAACTTGTAAAATTAGTAATTTTGAATACCTTAACTTCAACTTTTAATACTTTTATCGAATACAAAAATCCGTCGCTTTATCGTTTTTAATTTAAATTCATCGTTTTTCATACAATCGTAACGTAACTACCGCGTTGTTTTTGTCAAAATCCAATTAAATATATAAACCACAAAATGGCTTTACTTATTATACTAAATAAACTAACCTAGCTTGTTCAGTATATTATGCTAAAATACATGGGGCCTCTAACTTAAAATGTACAAAACCTACCTAATATTTATAGGAAGAAAGCTCGAAAAATAGCAAAAGCCCTTTATCAGACCATTATAGTACATATTTCAATACATTTAAGACACAATTATTATGACAACCTACCCCATATTTTTTTAACATGCATATAACATGGCGACACGCCTTTTGATCTCCAAGAAGGAGATCCTCACAACATGTAAAACCTACATTTAAACCAATTTTTTCTGAATCCAATATAATAAGGATGACATGCAAATAATGTTAAAAATTGTATTTAATTTACATTTAACATCTTGGGATGAGGAAGAGAGCAAGTTAAAAATGGCGGTCCCAACATTAATACTTTTGCGTTTTAGGCCTTCCATAATTTTTAAGGTAGCATTTTGACAAAAGCAAAGGTGGGAAATTTATTTATGAAGACGTTGGTTGCGATTTGGTAGTTCTGTACCTCTATTTGTAAGGTATGTAAGACACAATAGAAAAGACATTGTGTCTCAAGTGGATCCACGTCTTAAACACAGGAAAGGTTAAGTTACCATACAGTGTCATATAGTTAAAATAACTGTATTTGGGTATTCTGAAATGACTTTGGGATTGACTGAATTCAAAGTTGCCAACGACAATTAAAAGGACTTTCTATGAAGCTTTTTATAACCCCTTAACATCATAAGCGTCTCAAAAGTGTTCACTAAAAACCCCCCAAAAAGAAGCCCACTTTAAAAATCAGGTACCTAAAGCTAGGTTCAGACTTAGATTATTATTTAGAGGCTTTTCTGGAATCTATCAGTCCAGAAGATGTTGGCTAGGATACCAGCAGCCATTAGAGAACAGTAGATCAGTACCGCCGCCCACCAGAGACGCTTCTCCCATTTTCTCTTTTCAAGATTACGGAGAACACCGATGCCAACTAGAAGACCTGGAAATGAAAAACGAAGAAATTTTATACCAAACTTAAATGTGATTAGGAGTTCTGAGACGGTTTTAGTGTGGCAGAGCCATGCGCTATGAGCTTTGATTGGTACTTTCATTTAAAGAGGCAGGCAAAACAGGTGGTTTAAATTTAAAACTAATAAAATTAAGTGCATAATATTTTCTTACCGGCAATAGCTCCGGCTAAATGAGCGACGTAACCGATGTTTTGGTCTAGATGGCGCCAGTATCGATCATACACCGCGGTGCCAATGTCCACAGCCGCCAATAATACGAACACCAGTAACTGGATGATGGCAAACTCCATCTCCGACCAGTTCTGGAACCAAAACGATGCATGTTATGTTATAAAAACCTGATCGTAAATTTTAGCCTGAAAAAATAACTAAAAAGTAATATAAATAAAAATGTTTGTTGTCTTTCTTCTGGTGAAGCGATTTGCTTCTTTCCAGATTTAGATGCATAATATGGAGAAAGAGCGAAAAATATTATGAGAGCCAAGCTTCGGAAGTGATATGACGGCCTCACAGAAAACGGTAAAACAGCCGCGGCGTTGTGTTTGGTCGTGTGAGTTAGGTTATTGGAGGCCCAATCCCTCGCCCGCTCCTATCCCTTCCCAATCCTTAAATATGCGCAACCTTTATCCCTGAAAGGCCGGCAAGGCTCTCGTAACTCCTTTGGTGTTGCGTGTGTCCAATGGCGGCACCTATTGTTTACCATCGGATAATCCAAATGCACGTTTGCCGATCCGAAACAATGTCATTATGACCACCAAATGTCCTTTAGACTGCACTTACCATAATAATAGTAGCGATATGTGCTGCAATTAACGCATACACGCCTCCTGAAGCTCCAGCTAAATAGACCTTGGGGTCTGTCAGACTGGTGGCTAGGGATCCTGCGGCCACACCAGCGAGGTACACCAACACCACTCGCCACCACCGATGCACCATCTCTAGAGGGACTCCGAGGAACAACTGCACCAGAAGATTGACTAGCAGATGGACCACGCTGTAAAGTATAGCATGAGCTGATGAGATTAAGAGACATGAGATTTATAATTTCAACCAACTGACTTGACCTTTGAGTGATTTTGTCAACGATTTCTCTTCAATACATTAGTTTGGATATCAAAGCTAGTTCCAAGAAAAAAACGGGTGTATTAAAGTACCAATTAACTGGGTTGTGATGAGAGAGATGAGAGAGAGAGCTGAGATGTTTTAGCTCGGGTTGCGGGTCAAGCGCAATAAGTTACTGCGGTCTCGGACTAGAGCAGAAGAAGGAACAGTGGTTCTTCTATTAGACCTCAAAATACCATGATCGAAAGGTTAATTAACTTTTGTTCTCTTAATGCCAAATTATCCTCTGTTCAAAAATTATTCTACGAATAACTTGATAAACAGATTAATATAAACAAAACAATATTCAGATATATAAGCCAAGGTTTTGAACATGAATTCTTCATATATATTAGGTATTCTTTTCAGAACTCGGAGTTGCAATGTCAATAATATGCTCATACATTATTATTGCGTTGCATTCAAATATAATCCGCCTTTATTCAATGTATGCACATAGTGTCAAGGTTTGTGTGAAAACTTGAACAATCGCAGCAGACTGAATAAAAAGTGCACACAACGAAGTATTTCCGAGTCTGGGAATTTAATCATTCAAATTTAATCGTATAGCTGTTTTTTAACTAGCAGTATATTTTCGTTCTATAGAGAAACAAACGCTAATTTAATGGAGTGATTAAGGTACCTACTGCGCAAAAAATCCAAATTAATATTATATATGCGAAAGTAACTCTGTCTGTCTAACGCCTAAACTACTGAACCGATTTCTGTGATATTTGACACATAGTTTGGAACTCCAGAAAGGATATAGGATAGTTTTTATTCCAAAAATCTACAGGAAGTCACTTTTCCATGCAAACAAAGTGGCAGGCAAAAGTTAGTATTATTATACGCTTTTTTATCGAAGGGTTAAAATTACAAATGGCCTGTGCTTGGGACGAGAAAGAGTGTCAGACTCTTACAGACTGAAAACCACCCCTTCCTTCTCCTGCTCCAAGACGAGTCGCAACCCTGACAGATCTGTGACCCTGAATGATCAGTCATTTACATTAATCAGGCCTATTTTACCACTTTTGCATAACTCCTGATAAACATATGACTTATGCGGTACATAGTTCATACGAAATATGTACTATACTCAAATTTATTAGGTAAAAAATGTGTAAAACAGACCCTTAATGTAACCACTGAAAGTATAAGTTAAGTTCTCTCGACAAGTCTTGTGCGTCACTGGATGTAAATTGACGCCATGTTCTGATGCTTCAACCACGATTACGTCAGCGTCATTTGTTTTATCGTCTTTTTTTGCATAAGGGTGACCAGGGACGTCATAGAATATACATATCTCAGAGAAATCGTTACTTTCTCCAACCCTAATAAAATGGACTATTTGGAAGTTGGATTGCCTTCCCAGCCCTTAATTTTAAGGAGGATTTTGATTGTTTTCGGTTATTCCTCATGTTTGGGGCATATTTTATCTGATTTTGTGCAAATATAGATGTTTTAAATAATAATGCTTTTATGTTATCATATTATACTTGTAGTATAACGGATACTCACCCAACATGGACCAACATGTAGGTAATAAATCTCCACGCCTCCTGTCTCTTGTGTGGATTGTAGATGAAAAGCTTGGCGATGGTTCCATCGCCTTGCGTATGTCCTTGAGCAGCATCGTAGCAAAAGAGGACGATTTCCACCAGGGAGATGAGGATCATGCAGATGGCGGGCGGCCAACAGCTATACTCTTCTTCGTAGGTGCCGTCTGAGTATGTAAAGATTGACGTGCTATGGGCTGGATAACGCAACAAACAAGAGGCGGGTCGGGGAATAAGGAACAGTGGGATAGGAATTTAAACAAAGGATATTTTTTAGCAACGAGTTCATTTGGAATGATGTAATTTCCACGTTAGGAAAGATAACAAATATGTTATATTGAAACATTAGTCATTATTTTGTGATAAAGATTATGATTCAATGAAACATTGAATGCACACAACGAATTCATTTTGTCGAAGTTATAAATAGATTTTCGAAGTATTGTGGCGACAATAGGCCAGAATTAGAGCACGCGATGGCAGAGTGACAGCCATTAGACGTTGAGCGAGCAACGGGATGTATTAACCAATTAAGGAGTCGAGTTGCGGTAAAGGGCAAATTGTTTTTAATTGAGCGGTCATTCATATTAGCATTTATTTGCAAAAACAGTATAAACACAGGGAGGTAGGGAAAACAAACAACAACAAAAAGGGAAAAGGGGAAAACACAGAAAAAGTTTTTGTTAGTAAACTGCATTCGTAATTAAAACTAAAGTTATTTACTGTGCTAAAAGCTGTACAGGAAAACTATGGCATAGATTTTTATAATGAGAAAAAAATATATTTTTAAACGAATAATTTAATTGCTTATACAATACAAGGAAAAGACGAAGACATTTTTGTATCTATGTCATAGCATTTGTAATAGCAAAGCAATTAATTGACTACGGTTAATTGAGAATATTTGCGTTATAACCCGGCACAATAATCCCTTCACCTTGGTGGAATGGAGACAAATGATATGATGGTGGATTGTATACAACATAATAGTGATGCGGGTACTGATTAAGACCAAGGGCGCCAACAGAATGAACGGTCTCCTTTATGAATAGAAACTTTGTGAACAGAACGCGCTAACGCGAAAAATATACAAGCCACTGAACCGACTATAAGCGCGATAATTGATAAATTATACAGAAATCTAAATCTGAAACATATGTTTATGTTTCTGTACTTTAGCAACAGCGGGTATATTTAGGCTGTAGTACTTATAGCACAAATATAAGTACCCGGTTCAGATGAGAAATGTTTGTGTGACTATTTTAGAAATGGTGAAATGAGTATACGAGTAATATAAACACACTAATTATTGTGTATTATTTGATAGTGATAACATACCGAAGTAATCAATAACATATCTCACGTACTTCAAAGTTCTATTCCAAGAGTATTTACACACACTCAACCCATATTTATGATCACTTAAAACTTTGTAACTGCACCCATCAGTCTTTTTACACATTCTGTGCCACATCGTGTACAACACTAACTACAACATTAGTACCGAGATCGTCCACATTAGAACCGCATTAAAAAATAATTAAACAACTTTTTTTGTTTACAAGGTCTCCAATCAATACACGGAACCACACGTAACGCACTTCACCTTGACAATTATCCCCGACTTCCCCTACATTTTGTTTAGATTTTTATGATACCTGCATGTAGGGATATTCTGGGGCCCTTATCGTTAAGAAATGGAGCGAAACGAGAGGTCGCAGGACAGGCGTGCACCTGAATGCGACGAGTATGACATACTATGGAAAAACCTTCGAGTCGAGTGCGCCTGAGCACGATATGCACGGGTGAACTCTGACGTAACAATACATTCGGATGGACCTCTAACTTTAGCCAAGTGGATATTGGCGGGAATCGAATGATTCTAAACATTTCCATTACAAGACGACAAATTGGTTTGAACGATAACAATTGGTGAGCGTCCAGCTAGACAAAGTTGTTTATGTAATGTTTTTTATGAGCCTTGTATGGCTGATTCGTGTCTAAATACGTTAATCTCAATATAAATTTAACCCTACAATATTTGGAAGAGAGAGACAATAGTTGTAAACCTTTGCCTTAAAAAAATAAAAACGACAATCAACACATTTTAAAATAATGTAAGAAATTTGTGGCTTTCCTTGTGCATAGATTGAAGTAAAAGTAAGGGAAAAGTAGGATTTTGTCTTGTGTTTAAAGTAAAAAGGCCAACTTAATGTAGACTACTCTAAGTCTTAACTACCGTATATAATTATGTGATCAGATGCACGAAGATGGGTAAATGCTATCGGTTCTACGAGTAGTTTTAGCGAGTCCTATTGGCACCAATAGACGACCGACTTGATTTTATATAACTATACAAGTACAAACAAATATGTTTAAAATCTAAAATAAGTTCCCTCGAATATCCTTCAGTTTAAGAAGCTGATAGGATTATATTCTACAATAAAAGATATCGCAACCTCTTCAATTGTGCCACATAATTTTCCTGTTAAGGACGGGTATGAATGGCCATATTAAATGTAATGAGTATGAGTTATAGGCATTGTGACTTTATGACCTAAGTACGGCAGTTGAATGACCTTAGTGTCTGTGTTTAGGTATTAAAATCACGCTATATATGTAGCCCAATAGACGAACCAAATTTTTAAGGCGGTAGTTTCTAACAAGACAAATTCAATAGGTAGGTACTTTAATTCTAATTTCAAAAAAGTTTCTATGTTTTTTTACAATTTTGAAACATTTTTTGAGGGGGGAAAATCATCAAATGTCTTCTCTCGCCCAGGGTGAGGTGAGAGGGAATGTCAGACTCTTACTGACTAATCGCAACATATGACGTCATAATATTCTACATCGAATAGCATACTTAATCATAAAAAAATCTGTCGGAGTACTACGTTAGTAAGGCCTAGAAAATTAGCTGTTTCATTATAACATTTTTTTTGTGAGGGGAAAATCATCAAATGACTTCTCCCGCCCAGGGCCGGGCGGGAGGGAGTGTCAGACTCTTACTGACTAAAAACCCCCTGTTCCTTCTCCTGCTCAGGGCCGAGGTCGCGGTGCCTCATTGTGCTTACCCCGCAACCCCGGCTGATCATTATCACAATAAGGGCTGATTTTTCAAAAATGTTATCTAAGGAATAAAGTTGTTGCTGTTACTGCCTTATACAAACATTCTGACGCGACAACATCATACGACAACATCATATCTAACCATTGAAAAATCAGCCCTAAATAGTACACTAAAAAGTCTATATTCCCGAATGGTTTAGGAGCTAAACTGAACTAATTCTAAGGTCGAGAGAATAGGTTACTAATGGTCAGGGGTGCTCAACCGTTGGCCGCATTATTGCTTATCATCAGGCTAGATAGTGGTCAAACCAATGTCCAATACAATAAAAAAAGAAGGTTATATTATAATTTAATTTATCCCGGACCACGACCTAGTTTCAGTTCAAACCAAATTCAAATTATTTTATAATTATATTAGTTACAGTTTGTGGTTTTTAAGACGCGGTTTTAAATACATGTAGAATAATTACCAAGTACGTAAGTATTATTTTAGAATAAATTTATTAATGAGGGTTCGTCGAATTTCCTCCTTTAAAATTAATAATAAGTTTAAATAAAGTTATCAGTGCCACTAAATATTAGGATTCATTACCAGTCACTCAAAATTACTAAGAAAATGATTCAGAATTACTGATAACACCAGGAAACTATTGATTTATCGGCCTATTTTATTGAAACATAAGTATTGTAGTTTGAGGTTGAATTAATTGTTCATGCCTACAAAATAGCAATATAACGTCATACCACGAATATATTCTTTTAATCCCTATTCTCAAGGCAGTAGAGTCAATTTTGTACAAATTAATCACTTACTTTAACCAGATACGTACTCGTATTTTAAGAAACCTATTCTACTGTGACACCCTATAAATCTATTACTATACACCGATGAGACCGTACTTCGGTTTTAGATCTCATCGGTTCTAGACTCCACCCTTTTTGTAACAGGCAAATGAGGTACCCGGATTACGGATTACCTGATGGTAAGCAATCAGCGCCGTATATGGACACCCGTAAAACTAGATGACTTGCAAGTGCATTTCCGGTTTGGGGGGATTTGAGGTGATTGGGAATGAGGGGAAATAATTGAGCCTCCGAAAAAAATTGTTCCGCGCCACTTTTCAGTGAAGATGTGATTATTGAGAAAAAAGGATGAATTCCGATGAATACTTTTCCCGAAGAAGGGAATCTACCTTGATACACGTTGCTCTCTCATTTGCGACCATTACATAAACGAGGTAGGCAGACGACGAAACAATTATACAATACATCTGTAATGGAATTAAATTCTAATCTAATTAACAAACTAACATGAAAACGAATGATAAGATCGACTATCTCAAAATATCAAACACGACGATTTAGTTTAGATAAAATAAAAATGATGCTGACTGATAAGTTAAAACAGCTGTACCGCCACTGGGTGAGGCGAAAGGGAGAATCAGATGCCTGTTACAAAAAAAATACAAATAAATGACTACTGACGGAAGTCCGAGTCTTGAGACACAGCACTGTTGAACTATGGCCTGGCCTGGCCAGGCGGGATGGAGAGATCCATTTTAAAATGTGAAATTTCACGGGAGATCGGTTTTAACCTCGGTTCTTGAACTAAATGAAAAGGTAGCGTCGATAATAAAATGTTGTCTAGTTCGTCTAGAAACAGCAGGGCGCCTCAAAGAGCCAATCAGGGCCGATGTTCAGTTGGGCAAACGCTATAAGATTTTGCGGCCTCAGCCTGAAGTAGGAGAAGGAATGGGGGGTTTTTATCAGTAAGAGTCTGACACTCTTTCTCGTCTTACTCTGGACGAGAGAAATAATTTGATGATTTTCTCTTTCACAAAAAAGGGTAGAAACAAAGATAACAATAATATAATATCTGCAATTCTGATACATTTTGCTTCATAATATTAATAGGCGTTATTTTCACTATAATAGAAAGTCGCGTCAAGTCAAATAAATTGAGAGAGCTTTCGATAAAGGTGGGTCCTTTTGATGTGAATTTCGATTACTGGTTATAAAATCAGGTTAATTCCAAGGAACAACTAACAATCTACTTTGTACAGAGATTGATAAGGTTGTTCTCAGAACTTAATTGCTTAAGTGAAACGTGTCGACAATTGTTTATTTA